TCTCCCTCCATGCAGCGCCCCTAGCTCCACAAGGGTGGCTCATTTTCGGTGGTGTTACAGGGGTGGATGCATGGCCCTCATCTCTGCTACTGTTCATCTGCCTGCCCACCCCTTCGGAAAATCCACTGTTGCTCCTTCACTCCTCCTACATCATGCAGGGCACTGCACAACAGAAAGCAAGCGTTCCACTTGATTTATTTCATTCTTTCATAAGCATTGTTAAGCTTGCAATTTCTCGTGGTCACAGATGATTGTTATTAGCAACAAAGCATCACTTCACATTAGACCCCAAGTTTTACTGGCCTTGGAAGTGGTGCATCCCAGCAGGAAGAGGTGTGAGCGATGGATGGGTGCATGGGGGCATTCCCCCTCCAACCCATTGTTCTGCCACAGAATATAAGAAGACAAACCTTCTTTCCCCTAGCACACGTACATACGTACACACACAGCTCTCTATGTAGGTCCCAGCCTGTAAACACAAAGCCCAACACACACATGTCTGACCGAGTAGGTGACTGTACAGACAGTCCTCGGTCTGATTGCCAGAGCACTACGTTATTGAGGAATTCAAGCTGCAGTCATCATAGCCATGATGTTCATCACCTGAAGTGCAATTTACATTTGATCAATAAGGAACCAGTTGTTTCAAAAGGAAAACCAACTCCATGCTAGACATGTTCTTTAAAACCCTAAAGTGGAACAAAGAGCTCACTAACATGGTGCACAACCTCTCTTGCAGGGGAGGAACTGGTTGCAGGATGAACTGACCGTGTCCAGATAACCACGGTTAAATTATTAAAAAAAAAAATCAAAATAATTTTAATAAAACCACCCCCTCTCTACCCATCAATCCCAAGAGATGAGTAAGGATTGCAGTGTGCTCACCAACTCAATCACTCATCTCCAGGATGCACCAGGAGCTGGGCGAGAGCCACCAGGAGTAGCCAGGAAACTGAGGCTAGGAGAACCAGTGGTCAGAATGCAGAAGGTCACCTTGACACATCAGGCTGTGCTCCACAAGAAGTCACAGACAACACATGATGAAGACCAAGCAGCAACAGGAAACGGTCTCCTGTGGTCCCAGGGAGGCTGGGGACACAGGCAGCCTCACAGGGACGGCAGAGGTGTCCACTCTGACAAGGTCCAGCTCTTTGCCAAGAGATCCCGTCTTTGGCATGGACCTCCGCCTGTCACTTTGTGGGAAAGTGATGCCATGGTGACTCGTACAGAAGGCCACTGACAGATTTTATTAGAAACAAAAGATAAAACCAGGTTCTTATTCTTTTTTCTATTTTAAAACAGGGTTATAGATCTCTTTTGCAGAAAGGAACATGCCATTTATTTCCACTCCTTCTAGGAATCTCAACTATTGTACGCTTATTAAAGGAAACCCATAAAATATGTCTCCCAGTGTCTTTAACACATGCTTTACAAGAAGCCCCTAAACTCTTAACAAATGGCATTATTTTTCTCAGTAAGTGCCTAAGAGAACAGGCCCATCCCGTACACATGACATCTGCTTCTCCCTGGAAAGGTTTCACTTTTCTACGTGCTCCCTGTACACTACATCTCTCCGGATGTCCTGAGTACCTGCATTTTACAGCAAGAAACAACCAAACGCAAACATCTCAGCCCAATTTACTGAGTAACAGGGAGCACAATCCCACCCAGATGCACCCCAGAGGAGATGATCTCCCTTCATGGGATGCATGAGCATGGGCATCACTGGCAAGCAACACCCTACTTTAAAAGTAAGGAAAGGTTCACCAGAAAGACTGAGCAATCTCTACTGCACAAATATGTATCTTATAAAGCCAGGAGCTAATCTGGGTTACATCAGCACATATGCCAAATAATTTTACTGAATTCTATGAATTTCCTACACTGGTGAAAAAAGAGGATGAGACTGCTCCCATGATGCAGAGGACTAAATAGAGCAAATTCCAAACACTCCTTGAGATGAAAATGACTGACTTTGGATTCTCGTTTTGCTGCAAAGTAACTCAAGTGTAAACCTATTTTTTCAGGAAAATTAAAACTCAGTGCATTGAATTCCCTTTTTTTTAAAAAAAAAAAAAAAAAAAAGAGTTTCTTAGAAAATCACCATTTAAACTATGGGATAAAACAAACATTTTAATGAGCTATTCAGAAAAGGTTCTTGTGCAGTGGTACAGAAGTATATGCAGTGCAATCGTAGTAATTCACCATCTATGCAACACAAACCCTTTCAGGAATCTGAAAAATACAACTAAAGGATTGAGCTCTGCAAATCTGAAAAGCACCCGTTAGACATGTAAAGGTCTTGCTGATCCAAGAAAATTTTACAATTTTTGCTCACTGTTGTAGAAAAAATCCTTAATACATTTTTGCCTAGAATCTACAGCCACCTACCTGCAACAGATTCTCCATCAGGAGCACAAGTAGGCAATTTTTACCAAGGGTTATGTATAACAATTACACAGAGAATCCACAAAACTTCTCAGGGGCCAATAATAAGAGACAACCACCCCTCCAAAGTATGCATTTATAGAAAAACTTCAAATATATATATATGCAAAAGTCAGTGCAGAACAGGATCATGATTATATCTGCAAACTGTGATCTCTCGAATTCCTCACTGCGGAAGTTTTTCTTTCCTAATGGTCAACATCAAAGATCATTAGGATCCTCTAAAAGGCTCCGCTGTTCACTCTCTCGGCCTCCAGCAAACACACCCATACGTGTGTATGCACACACCAAATAAACTCGCTGTGTTAATGGAGCGAAGTTTCCATGGTGCAGTATCTATATGTGATGGGAATATGATACAGAGCCAACAGACATATTTAGTGTACGCTGTCCTGGTAGTTACAGAAGAATTTTAATGTCGATGAAGTATCAGGGATGTTGCATTTGCTTGGCTCTACCACGCAGCAAAGCATCTTAAAGAAATTTAACAATACAGGTAAGAAAAACAACAAAGCAAAACACCTTCCACTTCTGCCCAAGTTTTCCAAGCTGGCTACAAAGTTTTTATTCTGCTTCCTTTCGCTGGCAAGTCCCCTGCCGCAGCGCTGGCAGCAGCGCGTGGAGCCAGCCGGGTGTCACCGTGCCTGCCTCTCGCACACGCCTGTGCAAAGCCCCGTCTGCACCCAGGAAGGCGAGGACCCACGTTCGGCACACGCTGTTGGCAAAGGCAAGGCACGGCAGTGGATATGGAAGCGTCTGTCTGTCCGCAGCTGTGCTCCATGTGGTCTAATTCATTTAACAGATTTACTCCTTTAAATGGGGTATCTGACAGGATTTTGCTAGCAAGATCCATAGCAGCTGATGTGCTCTAAATTCATTTATCTAGCGGACCCGCTCCTCCGCTGCTATCTCCCGGAGTATTCTTTCGAGCAAGCTTCATTTCCACAGCCACATTATATTGATAAGGGAAAGAGCATTGACAGAGATGTCTCTAAACCTTGTCATCTCACCTGCCTCCCCCCCCAGGATAATTATATTACCAGCTTACACACATACACATCCCACCTACAGCCGCTTCCCCTACAGACCTAAAAGAAGGGAGAGGAGATGCTGAACAATGATGGGATCTTACGGCACAAGAAGTAGCATGCTCAGGGGTGGATCAGAAGGAGAGGGGGGAGATAAATAAAAAAATCACATTTGTAGTGCACGGAATACACAGCTTCTGACTTCAGTGGGAATCGTCCTACCCTCGCAAACACCGACATAAAAGACACACTTGCAGCATATTTCAAAACCAAAGAGCGATGGATTTACAAGGCAGGTTGATTTTATGATGACTTTTATTGAAAAGGTACGCTGGGTTTAGGCAGATGCCTTTTAGAGCTGGTAAGTTAGCACAGTGCCTAATTCAAGGAGACAGCCTGAGGAAGCAGCGCCGACAGGGGAGAAAGAGCCACAATGTCTCTATTACTCTCCTCGGCATCATAAAGGGGAGAAGAAAAATCACATCTGAAACAGAGAGGAAGGAGCGGTGCAGCAGGTTTTTGTTGGAAAAAAAATAGTAATAATAATAAAAATAACAATAATAAAATTGTTTTCTAGGAAGAAAATTCAACAGAACAAAGGAGCCCATGTGAAAAGCAAATCACTCACTCCTTGGTCTACACGCCTGGGTTTACAGGAAAACTCTAATCATAAGTTAGCACTCTCCTTTGGAGTGCCACGCTCTGCTGCCCCCAGACCGCTCCTCATCATGGATCACATCCCAGCTCAGCAGAACTGGAAACCTGCCCTTCCCAGAGGACAGCTCTGCCTCTCTGTGTGGGCAACACCACAAGGGACAAGGTGATGGGGGAGCAGGGAGTTACAGTCATGAGCGTGTGGACTGGTTTCCTTCAGTCCAACCACTGAGCTGTGAAAGGGCACGTCACCTTTCAACAGGCACCAGAGAGGAGAAACACTCAGAGAAATCACCGAGTGCGACAGCTTCTTGAATTGTAAGAACAGATTCAGGTTTATGTCTCAAAGAGGGAGCTCAGTGATCAGAAATATTCTCAAGCTAGTCAGAGGAAAAGGCATTTTTGTCCTAACCTGAGGCACAAATCCTGAAGGTGATGCATTTGCTATAAGAATGGTGTGTGTGAAGAAAAGCTCAGAAAGAAATACCTGAAGAAACAGGGGTTACATATTTGCTGCAAACTCTGGGAAAGTTTCTGGCTACACACTCCAGCTGCATCCCTGTTTACACACATATATGTACCAGCATCCACAGCCTCGCACTGGGGCACAGACAGCTTTCTGCTTGGTCAACAATGTCTCTCCAGCTGTGTGCTGGAAGACGAGTTTCCTTCAAGAGCACCTCACCTTGAAATCTGTCAATGTCTATTTAGAAGAGACAAGGCAATACTGCATGGCTGAGCTTGGCAGCCAGGAAAGGCTGGTTTTCCTCTGCCTTCAGCAAGAACCAGAGCACTGCGGGACAATCACCTGTTGAGTATCTCAACGAGGCGCAACTGAAGAAGAACCAACAAGTCAACAGAGGTACTTACATCTGTCACTTCGGTCTTCGGGACTGGATGAGGTCTCCCGGTCAGAAATGAGGCCAGAAACAGCAAAGATCTTCTTCCCCGTATCATCAACTTTGAGGGAGCCGGGGGAGCTGGAGGGGAGCTGCGTGCCAAACTCGTACTCCTTCCCATCAGCGTCCGAGAAGCGCAGATGGGGCGAGTCAGTGTCATGGCAGTTTTTCAGGCGCTTGGCCGGAGTAAAGGCTGACTGGTAGCTCTCCCGGTCTTCAGTAGATGCAAAGGGGCGGAAAGCCCCAACGCCGCTGTGGTTCAACATACTGATCGGGGTGCAGTCCAGGTTGGGGGGTGCAAACTGGGGATGGAGATGAAGCAAGGATGGAGGAAAGTCACGGTTTGCAAATGCTCCTGGCACCCCACCTTGCCGATGGTACATGGAGGCAAAAGTATATGAGCCATTGGTAAAGGGAATATGCACGTCCTTATCTGCTGACACTGGGACCCCAAAAGGCCTCGGCTGCTGGCAGGGAATGGAAGCATCACGGCTGGCTTCAGCGGTGGAGGCGAGAACCATCAGTGCTGGGGAGGCCAGCGGGTTGGGGAGATAGGGTGAGTTCTCCATCTTGAATGCTGCCCGGTGTAAGTCCATCGGAGTTTCTTTCCTCAGCAGGATCACAAGCAGAATGATCTTCCCTGGAAGGAAAGCAAAGCGATGCCTGGGAATGGAGCGGGGAAAATTACTGGAGCATCATCACCCTCGGAACGCTGCAAGGAAACAGAAAAGAAAAGAAAACACAACTGGTTAGGTTTCTGCGCTCATCTCTCTGGGACACTCCAGCAGCAGGGTGGCCACATGTGTTACAACCCACTGGCCAGAGACCCGCCACTGTTCTCATTCAAGAAAATCAATAGACAACTTCACACACTAGTGGAAGCAGCTCTGGCCCTCCAGGTTAAAGGGTATCATTCAGTGCAGATGAATGAAACCAAGCATAATAACATGTAGATTTAATAACCCGCTAATAAACAAGGTTTGGTCTAAAATTAAGATAGCAACTCCAAATTATAATTGGAATTTTATATGGCAAGGGGCATGTAGATATAATTGCAATAAACTTGAGCAAGCCCACACATACACACATCGCTATTTGCTTGGAGGGGGTGTGCGTGGCACCAACGTAAAAATATCTGTTGTACATAGTTACCCAAATAAACCAGCATACATGGTTATACTGTACATGATGCCTAAGACATATATGACAGAGATATGTTTTCTCTTGCTGTCACAGTAGATATGGGTAGGTAGGTACTTGCACACACAGTACTTGATCGTGTATATATAGAGAGACACACCGTTGGAATGTAGGAATGTGACTGTGTATGGGTGCGTGTAGTTTTGTGTATGGGTTTGTGTAATACACAAACACCCACGCGTGCACACACAGTCCCTGTTAGCCAAAGGAGAAGAGACTTCCCCCGTAAAACGCCTGGCGTCTCTGACAATATTTAAAATCATAATGGGTGCTTCTGCCATCTGATCTCTGCAAGCGTCTGCCTTTCGGGTCGGGGACAAGAGAGAATGGATCAGTAATTTTAGTTCCTAATGCACTCACTCTTAAGTAGATTTGTAAACTGCCCTGGATGTGCCATTAACATTTAGAGGAAAATGTTAACAAAATTTCTGCCTTGCATCTTGCTGAGCCTCCTAGATTGGCTGCAGCCACCCAGCCAGCCACAACCCCCTCCCAGGGTGAAAGAAGGGAAAATGCTCCTTTCTGTATCTCCCCCAGTTCGCTCTGGCTTTTTGTGTTGTTATTTTCTCCCCCAATCAATCTCATGTCTTTTCTTTTAAGCTTCCGCTGCCTGCCATTCAGGCCCCACAGCCCAGCTTAAAATACAAGGACTATAACTTTGAAACAATATACTAGCCGCTGGAGCTCAAAGGGCCAGAAAAATCATATAATAATAAAAAGCTGTTACAAATTGTGCCTCTTAAATCCAGAGGGTCAAACATCTCAAATAAAACTTAGTGAAAGAGTGTCTCCCTAATGGAGTGCCTTTTGTACTCCATGAATGAGGGAGCCTAGGTTAACAAAGTGTATGAAATCCAGTCTGTGGCTTTAATGCAGTTCAGTGATAACATTTCCTCTCTCCCATCCTGTACCCAGCCACTCCACTGACTGTTATTAATTGTGAAGATGAGTGGACATCATCTCTCTGCTTCCTCATTTGGCACCCATCCTTACAGACATCATTGCTAAATTACCAGATTATGTATCTCGCATTAACGGATTTGCTCTCTTCCAAATTTTAAATAACTTTCCTGTCAAGTTCTTGCCATGGAGAGCAAGGGGGAGAGGGAGAGCAAGGGATGCCAAGGGCATCCTGGTCAGCGCTGCTGGGTACAGTCGCCCTGCTGCTTCACGCGAGGCTGAGCGAAAATTGGAGGTCAGGAAACTGCAGCCGCTGGCAAATGTGGAGTTCCTGGGGGCTTATGCAACTGTGTAAATATATATATATACGCACACACGATTAGATATCTAAAGAGATGCATGCAAATAAGCCACCGTTCCCAGAAATAAACAATCATTAACATGGAAGTGAAACTGAGTAATCATGGGAAAACACGGATTTCTAGGGAAAAAAAAAAAAAAAGCAAGCAACCACCTCTGTCTCCTTTTCTATTTTTACTTGTGCTTTCATCCTATTACGTTAAATGTATTTCATAAATTAGTAATCTGGCCGCAACACTTGACACTCCTGTAGGATACTGTGAATCACTACGGCCGTTTATTCGTTTGCAAACTTCATTACACCAGGAATAAATCAACACATTACAATATCTCAGCCAGCCAAATTTAATTTTTTTTCAACTCCCACTTCCTTTTTCGTTCTCTCTTGCTCCCTTCTTGCCTAGCACCTCCCCACCCCCAGTAACATGGACAGATTAGACTGCGGCGGACCAGTCATTATGAAAATCTATCGTTAATACACTCCCAATGTCAAAATGTCATAGGTTTAAATACAGAACCCAAAAATAAGAAAACTAACTGACCTTCTTAATTAAAAAAATATGGATTGCAGGGTAATCAGCTGAAGGGAACATTTGGGTGCCGGGAAGGCAGTGGGCACAGGTGGAGTGAGGAACTGCTACTTTTCTGCCTCTATGCTGATTTTTTTTAATTTAGCACCTCGCGCAAATCCAGATTAAAATAACTCCAGCTATTGATCCGAGCAGTGGAATTGACATTAATTTTAGTTCACTTCTCACTTTGCAAAGGGATCAATAGGAAGTAATAACAGCTGACATCCCCGCTGAAAGGAGGAGAAAAGACGGGCTAGAGACAGAAATCGAAAAGCAACCAAATAAATCAGCAGCTACTTTTCCACGGCATCAGACAAACTCCAAACAGATTGCAAAAAGTCTTTGTTGAATTAACTAAACAAGGAGTAGAGGGAGGGGGAGTGGAGATCAATCTAGGAAGCTACACAAACTGTCTACCAAGTATGAAGGTTAGGCGGACAGCCTGAAAATAAAATCTATTTTTTTATTATTATTATTATTTTGTTCATGGATACCTATATGCATAGTTATTGGATTTTAGAGCTACCCTGCTTAAGGTGTACACAAATTACCTGTGTAATCGGGTATGTTACTAATAACAAGGCTAAACATGCCACAACCAAGACAAATTGAAGCAACAGCCTTTAGCTCTGAACCATAAAAAAAAAAAAAAAAAAAAAAAAAAAAAAAAAAAAAAAAAAAAAAAAAAAAATCTCTCACCAAGGAACAAGTTGTAATCAGTTATCTCTGGCTCAGTTTTGGTTCCTCTGCTTGCAAAGGTTGTAGCACTGTGCTGAATTAGTTAAGAAGAAAGTCTGATAAAAGTAGGAGAAGCCATGACAGCGCTGGATTTAGCAGACATCACAAACACCCAGCAAGTGGAGAAAGCAGCAGTGACCACTGGTTATAAGCGTAAAACCCACTTGCTAATCAGCCCGCAAAGAAACATGCACATATGCAAGCACATGCACACCCCATACGCAGCCACCAGATCTGCAAGGCTTTTACTAAAATGTTACTCAGAGTTCCTATGGTTAAATCACCTCTCTGCTATCGATTAAAATAAATAAAACACACCACTCTGGTTTCTACAACAGGTTGCATTTTTGCGGTCTCTCAACCATTTCCAAATGCTAGAGATTAAAATAATGGGGCAAATTAACATTTTTCTCCCTCCAGAAACAAAGTTTTCTTGGGGAAAAAAAAATAATTAACAAGCTATGGGGAAAAAAAAAAAAAAGATTAAAACAATAGGAAATCCAGGAAAATTGATGATGCATGTAAATTAAGAAAGACCGAGAAAAAAAAAAATCACAATATCCATTTACATTAAAAAGTTTTTTCCCCATAAATGTCAAGTAGGAATTTAGAAATATGCTCTGTGCAGAAAAGCCAAAGATTATAAAACAAAATAATGCCAGCTGTTTGGGGATTTAAGTGCTCAAATGGATTATATATTTGAACCAAACTGGATTTCCTTATAATAAATAAAACAAATGCAAGCTCGAAAGCCAACAAAGGAGAGCTCTCATCACTGGATTAAGATACAAAGGAAAAACAGTTAATTTTTTTCCAACGCGTGAAATATGCCAACTGCAGCCGCACACCCGGGCAGCTGCTGTGAAAACCGTTTTAAAGGAAAAGGGGAAAAAAAAAAAAAAAAAAAAGGAAA